CCGCTTGAAAATAATTTTTTTATTAAATTTTATTTGAATTATAGTGTATGAAAATTGTCAAAATAATCAATCAACTTTCAACCCCCATAACTTATTATGGGGGTGAGGCCGCCGCAAATTTTTTAGGGGGTTTTACTCAGATGTCCACCCTCTTTCGATCCCTCCTACCCCCTTCAGGGGTGTGGGGCCATCATCTAATCCCCATAACTTTTTATGGGGGTGAGACTGCCGCGAACTTTTATGGTACAGTGGTGGGGGAGGCCTCCTCTTTCGATCCCACCATCATCTAGACATTTCCCAATTCAATTTGTTTTCTTTTTATGTTTAAATATACTTTGAAGTTCGAGGTGTAGTTGTCTTGTATGGACTCTGTCTTGTGGTCATCTTTACAGATCATTTCACTCGAATCTTTGGAAATTATTTATTTATAAAAATACCTGTATTTAATACAGTAAATTAATGAATAATTTAAGTAAAATTAAAATCACTAAATAAACTGAATGTTTAAATACATGGATGCTTGTGGTTCTCTCAATAAAACATAGTGTTTCCCTCTTTCGGAAAATGAAGGAAGGTTTCCATAAACGATACGTAAGCTGGGAAAACGCGGAAAAGCAGTTTAAAGAGCACTGTTCGTTCGTATATTGGAAGACGGAAAAAAGGAAAATTGTCTAAACATAGATGGAGTGTAGCAGTAGGATGTTTTTGAAAGAAAAACTCGATAAAAATATGTACTTCGTATCATTTTAAACTAGATAAAGTAAGAAATCGTTAAATAATAGACAATTTGAAAACAACTTTTATTAATTAAAATATAGGTAGGTCCACATTTATTTCAAGGGGTTCCATATAATAAATAATTAATTAGAATGATTGTAATAGGAGAGGAAATTTAAGACTTTTAGATGCTACAAGTTTTATGTATTAAAACAATCTGTAAATGGAAGTTGGTACTTACTAAAGTGAAAAATATTTTTTGTTTTATGAAAAGTTTTGATTTACGACATCAACTAAGTACATTCCAATTTACATATTGTGTGGTTTGTTTCGTGATCGACATTTTCGTCTAAAATTGAGAATAATGTTCTAATAGGTAATATAAACTGGAGAATTATGACCCATAAAGACACTACACCTTCAAGAAAGAAAAAAAATCACTAATTCAAATTTGTTTATTCGAAACGGGCCAACTAAGACTATTACAGGGATAGATAAAGAAGGGGTCACTAGATAGTATACCAATAGTAAGTTTTTCCGCAAGGGGGCCTCATTGTTGTGCAATTTCCGTTCCACTCAGGATGAAAGGAATATTAAAGATATAAAACAGAAAATAGCACAGGGTCGAATCGCTTTCAACAAAATATGTCACTTCTATATGCTCGCGAGAGGTTAATTTATAAAATCGAAAAAGATTGTTACGGGTGTATGTTTGGAGCGCGACGCTCTACGGGTGCGAAACATGGACGGTGGGCGCGGCGGAAAAGAAAACGTTAGAAGCGTTCGAAACGTGGTGTTACAGGCGAATGATGAGGATACCGTGGATAGAAAAGGTTAGAAACGAGTAGTCATTCGGAAAATTTNTGTCATTTACATATTTGTAATAGATTTATTATATTATAAATTGATGACGTCTTATAGTCTGGATCTTGCGATATTTTGGCACAATAACCCTCCAAAGTCAAGACATATAAATTAATACATCAATTATTAGACAATATCAATAAAACAACAAAAAGACTCTTTATTCACTGGTTTACGAGAATTTGGTGCTCTGAACTGAAATTTGACAGAGTACGTATTTCAAAATTCTGAAACGATGATAAAATTCCTCTGTTCCTGTGACTATTTGGGTAAAAGAAATAATTAAACCTCCACCGGCGAAAGCATCTCCTACAAGAAACAAGTCTGACCTTTGCTCTTATGCCATTAGGTTGACAGTGCGCCCTTATTTTAATCGTTTTTGAATGAGCAGCGGATTAATTCTTTTATTTAGGATTTCATCCAAATTCGCGAATTTGCTCAAAAGTTGTGGAATAATAGGTATCTATGCTTTACATTTCCGTTACTCATCAGCTGACAAATGTCTCACAGAGAATGTAGTGTCGTGTTCAATAAAATTTTTTAACAAACGAAGGTCTAGTCGGAGACATATTAGAGGCAAAAGCGGAAGATACGAGAGGTAGAGGTAGACCTAGATTAGATTATTGTTTGCAGATAGTTAAGGGTATGGGTTGTTCAAGTTTTAGGGAAACGCGAAGATTAGCTCAGGATAGGAAAGAGTGGAGGTACGTGTCCAACTAGTCTTAGGACTGACGACCTTATGATGATGACGATGGCAATGGTCCAGTGGTATCAATGATCTTCTGGCATGCCGGCGGGCTACAATTATAGAAGAGTGACACTTACTGTGTGTAAAGAGCAACAGGCAGTTATAGAGCTGGATCAGCAACGTACAGAAGTAAATAGAAGGAAAGGAGTCAGACAAGGATGCACACTGTCACTGCTACTTTTTAATCTACACATCGAATTAAAAACAATACAACTGTAAGGATAGATATACAGGGGCGAAAGATTAGCATGGTCAGATTTGCAGATAATATAGCAGTATTAGCATCTAGCAAGGAGGAGTTAGGGAAACCTTTAAATAAAATGGAAGCGGTGTTGACAAATCAGTATTACCTATGTGAAAATAAATCAAAGTAAAACAAAAATACTGGTATGAAAGGGAAGAAAAAGTAGAGAAAGAGCGAATATAAAGATAGGAGACGAAAGATTGGGAAAAGTGGCTGATTTAAGATATCTAGGAAGTCAGATAAGTCAGGACGGAAGGAGTAGTAGGGATATAAAGCAGAGGGTAGCGCAAGGTCGAGTCGCTTTCAATAAAAAGAAGTCACTTCTAAGCTCGCGAACGATTAATTTAGAAATTTGAAAAAGATTGTTAAAGGTGTTTTCGGAGTGACCCGCTGTATGGGTGCGAAACATAGACGGTGAGCGCGGCAGAAAAGAAAAGGTTAGAAGCTTTCGAAATGTGGTGTTACCGACGAATGATGAAGATACCGTGGACAGAGAAGGTTAGAAATGAAGAGGTATTAGAAAGAATAAGAGAACAGAGGACTCTATGGAAGTCAATAAAAAATAGGCGAGATAGGTTGGTAGGACACCTTCTCAGGCATGAAGGTCTAGTCAGAGACATATTAGAGGCAGAAACAGGAGTTAGGAGG